TGAGCTGTAATGCCACAGCACTCTACCCAGGGGGACAGCTTGAGGCTCTGTCTCAAAAAATAAAAAAATAAAAAGCCTACTTATATAAACATGCACGCCAATTCTACCTTTGGCCTTACTTTTTTAGTCTCCTTAAGAAAATAACTATGGGCTCAGCTCCTATAGCTCAAGTAGCTAAGGCACCAGTCATATACGCCAGAGCTGGCGGGTTCGAATCCAGTCTGGGCCTGCCAAACAACAATGACAACTACAACCAAAAAATAGCCAGGCATTATGGTGGATGTCTGTAGCCTGTAGTCCCAGCTACTTGGGAGGTGGAGACAGGAGAATCACTTGAGCCCAGGAGTTGGAGGTTGCTGTGAGCTGGGATGCTATAGCACTCTACCCAGGGCGACAGCTTGAGGCACTGTTCTCAAAAAAAGAAACAAAAAACTATGGCTTCCTTCCATCTGTCTTCCCTACCTGTGGCTTGAAATAACCTGACGAAATTTACCATCCTTGAAGTCAGAAAACCAGAGCTTCTCCGGGGTGGCCTGAGGAGCACATCCAGCATGGTGGGAACAGCTGTTTCTGTGAGGGGTGCCTATCCTTTGGAAACAGGGAGCTCACCTTAGTGCGTGTTTGTGATTCTTCTTGTGAAAGCTGCTGTGTTAGTTTCCGAGGGCTGCTGTGACAAAGTACCACAAACAGGTGGCTTAAAACAACGGAAATCCATCTTTTCTCATTTCTGGAGGCCAGAAGTTTAAATCAAGTGTTGGTTGCCCTGTTCCCTCTGACAGCTTTAGAGGAGAATCCTTCTTGGCATCTTCCTAGCTTCTGATAGTTGCTGATCTTTGGCATTCCGTGGCTGGCAGCTGCGTAAGTCTAGTCCCTAACTCTGCTGTCACATGGCCTCCTCCCCATGAGTCTTTGATAAGGACACCAGTCATTGGATTAGGGCCATTGTAATCTAGTCTTACTTCATTTTAAATTAGTATATATGTTAAAGTAAATTTGGCCTGAGGCTGCCTCCTTACCTTGAGTTTTTACCTAGGGAGTCTCCTATGTAAAAACTTAGCAAGTAATAAAGCTGAGTCTAACTCAGCATTTAATAAAACTGAGGCTGGGTGCAAAATGGCTCATCCCTATAATCCCAGCACTTTGGGAAGTCAAGGCAGGGAGATAGTTTGAGGCCAGGAAAAGAGTTTTAATTTTCTAGTATTATTTCTATGGCCTAAAGTGAGTAAAAGGAAAAGATTTGGGCTTTTAGTTACAATGGGTACCTGTTAGTGAACCTTTGAATTTCAGCATGTCTGGTTCATTCGCAAAGTCTAGAGCGGTGTTTTTCAACATTTTTTATCTCACGTACACTTGAACCTATGGTTAAACTTCCATAGCACACTTAAATTATGTCGATTTTTTAAAAAACTTCTTTTTTTTTTTTTTGAGACAAAGCCTCAGGCTATCCCCCTGGGTAGAGTGCCATGGCTTCACTGCTCACAGCAACCTCCAACTCCTGGGCTCAAGCGAGTCTCCTGCCTCTGTCTCCCAAGTAGCTGGGACCACAGGTGCCCGTCATAACGCCCGGCTATTTTTTGCTTGCAGCCATCTTGTTGTTTGGTGGGTCTGGGCTGGATTCAAACCCGCCACCTCAGGTGTAGGTGGCTGGTGCCTTAGCCGCCTGAGTCACAGGCGCCGAGCCTAAAAAACTTCTTTTGAGAGTAACTTAATTAATGATCTTTAAAATTTTTGTGGCACACTTAAGATCCTCTCATGGCATACCAGTGTGCTGTGGCACATGGGTTGAAAATCACTGGTCTAGAGAAATGGCAGCCTCATTTGTAAGTGCCGTGAGCCAAGGGTACATGGAGACTAAGTTGATAATTAGGGGACTGCATGTCTTGTAAATAGGAAGACTAATTTTCTTTCTTTTTTTGACTAATTTTATTTCTGTCCTCAGGAGGTAGGAATTTTAAAAACTGAACTTGAGGCATCTCAAAGACAACTTGAAAGTAAAGAGGAAGCACTGAAAATTCTTCAAAGCATGGTAAAAAGTTATTCAACTTTTATTACTTATACATTCCCGTAATAATTGGTGTGTTCTTAGCTTTTAAAACAAGAGCAGCCAACCCACCTGTGGCTCAAAGGAGTAGGGCACCGGCCCCATATGCTGGAGGTGGTGGGTTCAAACCCAGGCCTGGCCAAAAACTGCACAAAAAAAAAAAACAAAAACAAGAGCAGCAGTGCTTTAATATAATTTTTTTGTTGAGGTATAATTTTTTTAACTGCTTTATAGTTTACTTACATACCATGAATTTCACTTGTCTTAAAGGTACAGTACAATTTATAATTATAAACTTAGAATTGTAAACCACTACTATAATTTAATTTAATTTTTTATAGACATTTCCAACAACCACGTAAAGGAAACTAGTGCCCATTTTCAGTCACTCCTCATTCTCACTGTGAGCCCTATAAAACCACTAATCTGCTTTGTCTTATAAATTTTTCTTTCTTTCTTTGTTATTTTTTATTTGTTTGTTTTGAGACAGAGTCTCAAGCGGTCATCCTGGGTAGAGTGCTGTGGTGTCATAGCTCACAGCAACCTCCAACTCTTGGTCTCAAGCAATCCTTTTGCCTCAGTTTTTCTATTTAGTAGAGATGAGGTCTCAATTTTTGCTTAGGCTGGTCTTGAACTCGTCAGCTCAAGCAATGCACCTGCCTTGGCCTCCCAGAATGGTAGGATTACAGGCAGGAGCCACTGTACCAGGCCAGTTTTCTTTTTCTATTTCATATTAAAAGAATCACACGGCTCAGCGCCTGTGGCTCAAGTGGCTAAGGCACCAGCCACATACGCCTAAGGTGGCGGGTTCGAATCCAGCCCAGACCCGCCAAACAACAATAATGGCTGCAACCAAAAAATAGCCTGGCGTTGTGGCGGGCGCCTGTGGTCCCAGCTACTTGGGAGGCGGAGTCAGGAGACTCGCTTGAGCCCAGGAGTTGGAGGTTGCTATGAGCAGTGAAGCCATAGCATTCTACCCAGGGGGACAGCTTGAGGCTCTGTCTCAAAAAAAAAAAAAGAATCACACAAAATTGCATTTTTTACATGTGGTTAGCATGTTTTTGAGGTCCATGCATATCATAGGATGGGTCAGTACTTTCTTTCTTTCTATTGGTAAATAATACCCTGTTGTACAGACATGCTACATTTTGTTTATCCATTCACCAGTTGATAGACATTTGGCTTTGTCTGACAAATAATACTTCTGTGAATGTTTTCTTTGTGTGGAAAATCCATTTATATCCACATTCATTGGAAAACCGTCAAACCAAGATCTTCTGACTTTTGAACTATCCGAGTCTCCACAAAAAGTGGTGACTGTGAAATTCTCAACTTAATTTTCTGTCTTAAAATGAAAATGTTAACTTCACTGTGCACATAGGAATGATCAGAAATTTAATTTATGCTGATGCTATTTTTATTTTTTTAGGCAATATTTGGGAAAGCCACAAGTCACACCCAGGCAGTGCTTCAAAAAACTATGGAACAAAAGAGATTCTTGGAGAAGGTATTTGCCACTTTTAATGTAGACTTGTTCAATCCAGTATGCTTTAAACAGAATTTCCTTAAACTCCCTGTATGAGTAGGCATGTCATTTGTGCATGCCCTCTGCTGAATGCACTTAATTTCTGATGGGCCTCCCTTTTGGAGCTTATAACCTAAAACAAACTGTCATGTGGGGAAAGAATTATGATTTATTTTATTTCCCAATTTTAGGGTAGTAAGAGGCCTGCCAAACTGATACTTCTTTATTTATTTGTAACTTATATAAATGTGAAGGATACTCGTGCAGGTTACATGACTATATTGCATAGTGGTGAAGTCTGGGCTTCTAGTATAACCATCACTGGAATAATTAAGTGATTTTTCTTTCCTCATCCCCCTATCCCACAGTTCTGAGTCTCCAGTATCCTTTATTCCTCATTCTCTGTCCACATATACCCATTATTTAGCTCCCACTGCTAAGTGAGAACATGGGGTATTTGACTTTCTGAGTTATTTTACTTAAGATAATGGCCTCCAGTTCCATCCATGTTGCTGCAAAAGACACCGTTTTATTATTTTTTATTTTTATTTATTTATTTATTTAATTTTTTTTTGAGACAGAGCCTTAAGCTGTCACCCTGGGTACAGTGCTGTGGCGTCGCAGCTCACAGCAACCTCCAACTCCTGGGCTCAAGTGATTCTCTTTCCTCTGCCTCCCAAGTAGCTGGGACTAGGCACCCACCACAATGCCCAGCTATTTTTTGGTTGTAGCCATCATTGTTGTTTGGCGGGCCCAGGCTGGATTTGAACTGCCAGCTTAGATGTATGTGGCTGGGACCTTAGTGGCTTGAGCCACAGGCACTGAGCCCATTTTATTATTTTTTATAGCTGAATAGTATTTCATTGTGTGTATGTCTGTGCATGTGGGTGTGAATCTCACATTTTCTTTACCTATTCATTCATTGATAGGCACTTGGTTGATTTTATCTTTACTTTTGTGAATAGTGCTAAAATAAACATGTGAGTGTAGGTCTTATTTTGATATGATGATTTCTTTTCCTTGGAACATATACCCTGTAAGTGGGATTGGTGGATTGAATAGCAGTTCCTATTTTTATTTTTTTTTTTTGAGAAATCTACACTGTTTTCCTTAGGGATTGTACTAATATACACTCCCACCAACCTGTGTCTTCACTAACATCCATTATTGTGTTTGACTTTTTAGTAATAGCCATTCAGAACTGGTATAAAATGATATCTCACTGTGACTTTAATTTGCATTTCTCAGATGATTAGTGATGTTCAGCATATTTTCATATGATTGTTGGTCATTTGTAAGTCTTCATTTGAAAAATGTTGGCTCAGTGCCTGTTGCTCAGTGGTTACAGTGCCGGCCACATACACCAGGGCTGGCGGGTTCAAACCTGGTCTGGGCCGGCCTGCTAAACAACAGTGACAACTACAACAATAACAACAAAAGAAAAATAGCTGGGCATTGTGACAGGTGCCTATAGTACCAGCTACTTGAGAGGCTGAGGCAAGAGAATCACTTAAGCCTAAGAGTTTGAGGTTGCTGTGAGCTGTGATGCCACAGAACTCTACTGAGGGTGACATAGTGAGACTCTTTCAAAACAACAAAAAAGTGCATATCAGGGGGTAGAATCTATGTTCACTGTAAAACATACAAAAAAAGGTATAGGCTTGGCGCCTGTAGCACAGTGGATACGGCACCAGGCACATACACTGAGGCTGGTGGGTTTGATACCGGCCTGGACCAGCTAAACAACGACAACTGCAACAAAAAGTAGCCAGGCATTGTGGCAGGCACCTGTAGTCCCAGCTACTTGGGAGGCTGAGGCAACAGAATCACTTAAGCCCTACTAGGGGCTTAAAAGTTTGAGGTTGCTGTGAGCTGTGATGCTGCAGCACTCTATGGAGGGTGACATAGTGAGACTCTGTCTCAAAAAAAAAAAAAGTATAAAATAGGTTCCCATGAGTTTACAAACTAGAGATAACTTTTCCTAACATTAATGTGTTTCCTTCTGGGATTTTATTCTGTGACTATATCTTCTTAATGCATCTGAGCCAGTTTAACACATATGGCTTTGTATATGCTGCTTTTTTTACATTGAGCTTTCCAGTTACCATTTTTCATGACAGTATAATAATTCTTGCCTCCTAAATGGCAATTTCCAATTAACCCTCCCAGACTGGGCTTTTTTTTTTTTTTTTTTTTTTGGAGACAGAGTTTCACTTTGTCACCCTTGGTAGAGTGCCCATGGTGTCATAGCTCACAGCAACCTTGAACTCTTGGGCTCAAGCTATCCTTTTGCCTCAGCCTCCAGAGTAGCTAGGACTACAGGCACCCACCACTATGCCCAGCTAATTTCTCTTTTAAGTAGAGACGGGGTCAGGCAGCGCCATATACTGGAGGTGGTGGGTTCAAACCTGGCCCCAGCCAAAAACTGCAAAAAAAAGGTACAGACGTGGTCTCGCTCTTGCTCAGGTTGGTCTCGACCTCATGAGCTCAGGCAATCCACCTGCCTTGGCCTTTCAGACTGCTAGAATTACCACCAGACTGCTAGATGAGCCACCATGCCCAGTTGCCAAGTAAGCCACATGCAAGTGATCCAACCATCTATACATCCAACCACCCAAACATCCACACATCTCTCTCTCTCATACCTCCAATAAATTCTGACTCTCCAACATGTAGGTAAATAAGCATTCCTCAAAAGTTACATATTTCCTTTGTCATTTATCTGGATATAAAACATTTATGTATATGGGCAGTGCCTGTGGCTCAGTGAGTAGGGCACCAGCCCCATATACCGAGGGTAGTGGGTCTGAACCCGGCCTCGGCCAGACTGCAACAAAAAAATAGCCAGGTATTATGGTGGGTGCCTGTACTCCAAGCTACTCGGGAGGTTGAGGCAAGAGAATTGCGTAGGCCCAGGAGTTGGAGGTTGCTGTGGGCTATGACATCACGGCACTCTACCAAGGGTGATAAAGTAAAACTCTGTTTCCAAAAAAAAACAACCCAACAACACACACAAAAAAGAGGCATTTTATATGTGTTTGCAAATGTCATGGACTCTTTTTGAGCAATGAATTTTTTTCTCCTTAAACCATTTCTGGGAAATCATTACATGATTTATTTTAGCTATTTGTAATGTCCTGAAAATGATTTATTTGTAGTAATTTGCCATGAAAATGCTGTTTTCTTTCCATAGGAAATAAATGCCTTACAGTGGGAAATAGAATTTGATCAGAATAGATTTAAAAATATAGAGGAATCTTGGACTCAAAAATATGACAGGTTTGTATTTTATTATTTCATAATTTTTCTTTGAAAATCTGTAAAATATGTGTAATTTAAAAGTAACATACGCTTTATTCTTTTCTGAACTACCTGTAAAATATTATAAAAGTTGTTACTGGCTCGGCGCCTGTGGCTCAAGTGGCTAAGGTGCCAGCCACATACACCTAAGGTGGCGGGTTCGAATC